ATGCCCAGCTGTGGGTGTGACTGGTGATGGAAGTGAAGACCAAAGCTGTAGAGAACAGTGCTGCATAGGAACCTGGAATGTTAGGTCCATAAATCAAGGTAAATTGGAATTGGTCGAACAGGAGATGTATAGAGTGAACACTGACATTTTAGGAATCAGTGAGCTAAAATGGACCAGAACGGGCAACTTTAATTCAGATTACCATTATATTTACTACTGTGGGCAAGAATCCCTTAGAAGAATTGGAATAGCCCTCATACTCAACAACAAAAGAGTCCAAAATGCAGTACTTGGGTGCAGTCTCAAAAACGACAGAATGATCTGTTTGTTTCCAAGGCAAACCGATCAGTATCACAGTAATTCAAGTCTATGCCCCAACCACTAATGCTGAAGCTGAAGTGGAACGGTTCTATCAAGACCTACAAGACCTTCTAGGACTAACATCAAAAAAAGATGTCCTTTTCATCATAGGGGACTGGAATGCAAAAGTAGGAAGTCAAGAGACACCTGGAGTAACAGGCAAGTTGGCTTTGGAGTACAAAATGAAGCAGGGCAAAGGTACAGAAGGTTCTCTTTTGCCAAGAAAACACACTGGTCATAGCAAACACCTTCTTCCAAAAACACAAGAGAAGACTCTACACATGGACATCACCAGATGGTCAATGCCAAAATCAAACTGATTATATTCTTTGCAGCCAAAGATGGAGAAGCTCTATACAGTCAGCAAAAACAAGACCAGGAGCTGACTGTGGCTCAGATCATGAACTCCTTATTAATTCAGACTGAAATTGAAGAAAGTAGGGAGAACCACTAGGCCATTCAGGTATGACCTAAATCAAATCCCTTACAATTATACAGTGGAAGTGACAAATAGGCTCAAGGGATTAGATCTGATACAGTGCCTGAAGAACTATGGACAGAGGTTTGTAACATTGTACAGGAGGTGGTGATCAAAACCATCCCCAAGAGAAAGAAACGCGGAAAGGGCAAAATTATTCTCTGAGGAGGCCTTACAAATAGCTGAGAAAAGAAGAGATGTGAAAGGCAAAGGAGAAAGGGAAAGATATACCATTCTGAACGCAGAGTTCCAAAGAGTACCAAGGAGAAATAAGAAAGTTTTCCTAAATGATCAAAGCAAAGAAACAGAGGAAAACAACAGAATGGGAAAAACTAGAGGCCTCTTCAAGAAAATTAGAAATACCAAGGGAACATTTCATGCAAAGATGGGCTCAATAAAGGACAGAAATGGTATGGACCTAACAGAAGCAGAAAATATTAAGAGGAGGTGGCAAGAATACACAGAAGAACTATACAAAAAAGATCATGACCCAGATAACCACGGTGGTGTGATCACTCACCTAGAGCCAGACATCCTGGAATGAGAAGTCAAGTGGGCCTTAGGAAGCATCACTGTGAACAAAGCTAGTGGAGGTGATGAAATTCCAGCTGAGCTATTTCAAATCCTGAAAGATGATGCTGTGAAAGTGCTGCACTCAATATGCCAGCAAATTTGGAAAACTCAGCAGTGGTCACAGGACTGGAAAAGGTCAGTTTTCATTTCAATCCCAAAGAAAGGCAATGCCAAAGAATGCTCAAACTACTGCCCAGTTGCACTCATCTCACATGTTAGCAAAGTAATGTTCAAAATTCTCCAAGCTAGGCTTCAACAGTACATGAACTAAGATCTTCCAGATGTTCAAGCTGGATTTAAAAAAGGGAGATCAAATTGCCAACATCCGTTGGATCACAGAAAAAGCAAGAGTTCCAGAAAAACATCTACTTCTGCTTTATTGACTATGCTAAAACCTCTGTGGATCACAAGAAAGTATGGAAAATTCTTGAAGAGATGGGAATACCAGACCATCTTACCTGCCTCCTGATAAATCTATATGCAGGTCAAGAAGCAACAGTTAGAACAGGACATGAAACAACAGACTGGTTCCAAATTGTGAAAGGAGTACAGCAAGGCTGCATATTGTCACCCTGCTTATTTAACAAATGCAGAGTACTCCATGCGAAAAGTTGGGCTGGATGAACCACAAGTTGGAATCAAGATTGCAGGGAGAAATATCAATAACCTCAGATAAGCAGATGACATCACCGTTACGGCAGAAAGCAAAGAGGAACTAAAGAGCCTCTTGATGAAAGGGATAAAGGAGAGTGAAAAAGTTGGCTTAAAGCTCAACATTCAGAAAACTAAGATCATGGCATCCGTTCCCATCACTTCATGGCAAATAGATGGGGAAATAATGGAAACAGTAACAGACTTTATTTTCTTGGGCTCTGAAATCACTGCAGATGGTGACTGCAGCCATGAAATTAAAAAGACACTTGCTCCTTGGAAGAAATGCTGATAAACCTAGACAGCATTATAAAGCAGAGATGTTACTTTGCTGACAAAGGTCATTATAGTCGAAGCCATGATTTTTCCAGTAGTCATGTATGAATGTGAGAGTTAGGTCATAAAGACAACTGAGCACCAAAGAATTGATGCTTTTAAACTGTGGTGTTGGAGAAGACTCTTGAGAGTCCAAGGGAGTCTGCAAGGAGATCAAACCAATCAATCCTAAGGGAAATCAGTCCTGAATATTAATTGGAAGGATGGATGCTGAAGCTGAAGCTCCAGTACTTTGGCCACCTGATGTGAAGAAATGACTCATTAGAAAAGACCCTGACGCTGGGAAAGATAGAAGGCAGGAGGAGAAAGGGTCGACAGAGGATGAGATGGTTGGATGGAATCACTGACTTGATAGACAAGTTTGAGCAGGTTCCAGGAGTTGGTGGTGGACAGGGAAGCCTGGCATGCTGCAGTCCATGGGGTCGCAACCAGTTGGATACAACTGAGCAAGTGAACTGATGAAGAAAAGAGGGTTTCCCAGGTGACTCAGACAGTAAAGAATCTGCCTGAAATGCAGGAGATCCAAGTTCAGTCCCTTGGTTGGCAAGATCCCCTGGAGAAGGGCATGGCAACTCACTCCAGTATGCTTGCTTGGAGAATTCCAGGGACAGAGGAACTTGGTGGGCTACAGTACATGGAGTCTCAAAGAATCAGACACAACTAAGCGACTAACAGTTTCACTCATGAAGACAAAAAGTAGATTAGTGGTGTTTTACGTCATGGCAAGGGGGGTCGGAAGATGCTATCTTAGCAGAATGGGGTTTCTTCTTGAGAGGATAAACGGTTTTGACTATGGTGATGCATGCGCAAGTCTGTCAATCTACTGAGAGCCACTGAACTGTGCCCTTTAAGCGGGTGAACCATATGGCATGTGAATTGCATCTCAAAGCTGTTACGGAACACAAACCCCTGCAAAAGAGATTCATACACTGAGCTTAAAAGCCTAAGAAAAGCAATAGGTCTTTAAGTTGTAATATATTACAGTCACCTTTCTCTCCAAGGGGGATTGCTTCCAGGAACCACTATAGGCATCAAGTTCCCTGATGGTAGGGATTTTCATAACCTACACTCACCCCCCACGTACTCTAAGTCACCTCTACACTCACCCTCCCATGTATTGTAACTCATCTCTAGATTACTTATACTTAGTACCAGGAAGACGCTACGTAGACAGTTGCCGATTGTGCAGCAAATTCAAGCTTTCCCTTTTGGAACTTTCTGGAATGCTTTTTTTTTTTTTCAATCTGAGCAAGGTTGGTTGAGTCCGCAGACATGGAAGCTGATATAGAAGGTTGAACACTCTGAAGCCAAGCTCACGTATAGATCACGTCGTCATGTCTGAGAGCACCCAAAGGCTCAGGTTACAGGCCCCCTTAAGGCCGTGTGACTATGTGCACAGGCTGAGCGTGGAGCGCTGTCTACTTGGGTCAGGGGAACCCAAGGACTTGGGGGGAAGAGGCTGGGCATACTGGGGGGCTGCCTAGAGGTCTGGGAGGTGACAGCGTGAGGGGCAGAGGCTGACAGAGCCAGGCGCAGGGAGGCGGTGGCCTCCTGCTGATGAGCCACGTCCAGACACCCAGGCAGCAGTACCTTCAATTCCTGCTCCTGGAAGTGGTCAGAGGCGTGCTCCTCTCCTGTCCCTGGTCCAGGGCCTCTGCTCCCCCTTCCTCTCCCCACCCACACCCCATTTCTCTCAGCCAGAGGCCGGACAAGTTCCCTGACGGGGCGTCCACACTGGCCTTGCCCACCTCCCGTCTCTCCTCCATCGCAGTCTAAGCAAGATGCAGCGTGCGGACCCTTCACTTCTCCCCTGAGATAAGGAAGTGGGAGTAGGAGAGCAGGGAGGGCCAGTGTTCTGGGCAACTCTCCGACCTTCATATGGTCTCAGGCCCCACATTGCAGTACTGACGCGGAGCTAACAGGTCGGGCAGGCTGTGCTGGACTGAGACTCAGGAGCGCCAGGCCAGGCCCTTGTGTCCATTTTACAGATGGGAACGTTGAGGACTAGACCGAGAAGGCACCTAGGAAGCCTGGTCAGCAGTCAGCTGGACTGTATGTGGGCTGTGTCCACCATCAGGGGCAGAGAAGGCCGACTGCCCTCAGGCTTCCCCGTGGGAAGGAAGCAGCAGGAACGTGGTCAGACACAATTGCCTTTATTGGTTCACGGATCTGGATGCTCAGACTGGCTGCTGCAGAGCAGACCTTGCGGTGTCTCTCCTCCTCCACAGCAGGTCAGCCTCATCCCCCACCCCACCCCCACCCGGGGTGCAGGAGCTGGGGTCGGAGCCTCAGACTTGGACCCCTGCAGTGCGGGCAGAGGGCAACAGCTCCCGATTACCATGTCTGGGGATGAACCCTGGGCCAGGTCACAGACAGGCCTCCTGGGCCATGGAGCAGGCCAGAGGGTGTCCTGGGACTGGACGTTGTGGGGGTAGGAGGGATGCCCTTAAAGCAGAAGGGCTAGCGCCCCGCACAGGCCAGCACCCTGACCTGCATCTGCGTGGCAGCTGGCTAAGGCACGGTGGCTGGGCCGTCCTGTGGCAGAGAGCCAGAGGCTAGCGTGACCCTGACCCTCTCAGGACACGTGGCTGTCAGATCACGGCTACTTTTTCCGCCGGGGGGTCTGGGAGCTGCTGCTGATGTTGGGGGCTGGGGAAGCTTGCTTGCTGGCGGCTACCGAGTCTTCCTGGGGGGCTGGCTTGTGCTTTTCCTCCTTGGTCTGAGGCAGGGCCTGCAGGCCCAGCAGGGCCTGCATGACCTTGATGGCCCCCACAGCCCCGAGGAGCCCCCAGAGCAGGGTGGGGGCCTCCAGGTGAGACAGCTGTTTCCGTACCCAGTGGAGGACCTGGGTCAGGGTGTTGTTGGAGCCGCGGGCCCGGGGTGGGCTTCTGTCCTGCGGGACAGGATGGAGGAGGGTCCGGGGGGTCGTCCCTGTGAGCCGGGGTCACCCCTGCCACCTACCTCTGCCTGCCTGACTCCTTCCTACCTGAAGGCCAAACTGCCTGAGCAGCATATCCAGCGTTGGGTCCCCCAGGGACACGGATGGGAAGAATTCTTCCACCCACTGGCGTCGCCACCACTGGCTGCAACAGCATGGGGGGCTCAGGTGGGGCCAGCTCGCAGACCCCTCACCGCTCCTGGCGCCCAGACTCACCCTTGCTCCCAAGGATGCGAGAACCAGTACTTGTAGCGCTGGGCCCGCACATACGTGGGCGGCTGCTTGTGGAAGGGGTAATCGGGAGTGTGGTTCTGGATGAGGCGGATCACTGAGGGCGCAGGGGGAAGACCTCAACATCCGCCTGCCCCCAGGCCCCCCGAAGGTCACCCAGATGCCCCACAAGCCCCGCCCCTCCACCCAGCCTCACCAGGCTCCTTGCCCTGCAGCAGGCGGAGCACCAGGCTGGTGAACCAGGGACTGTGCGTGTGGGGGCCCAGGGCCGCAAACCACATCTGCCAGTCAAGGCGCGGCTGGTGGGGCACCACGATCGGGGGTGGCCGGCTCAGGTTCCCGGGTTTGTACATGAACTCGATCTCCTGCCGGGCAGAGTCCCTTTCAGCACGGCTGGCTCCCCCTTCTCTCCCCACCCAGGCCTGTGGGGTCGCCAGGCACCCCGGGCAGGGGCCTGAGGGAGCCCCTACCGTCCACTGGAGCCCATCATAGCTGCCCTCCAGCACCACCTCTGGCCGCCCACCCAGGCCAGTCATTCGGCGGAAAAGGCCATAGGAGTTGGCCAGCTGCAGGTGCTCCACGGTGCCAAACAGGCGGTGGGCCCCAGTCCAGAGGCGCCCATGGCTCGAAGGCTCCATGTAGGAGTAGGGCACCTGGAGGCAGGCAGGCAGAGGCTCAGCAATGACCTTCCAGCCCTCCCCTGACTCCCGACCCCAGCCCCAAAGCACTACCTACCAGGCTGATCATGAACAAAGCCACCGTGGCGGTGCCAAAGATGGACAGCTGGACGGCAGCACAGAGCTTCTGCAGCAACCCTCGCACCTGCACCCACCTGGGGCGGAGAACAGAAATGCAGTCGGGCCCGCCCTGCACAGCTCCACCCACCCTCTGGCACCACAAACCTCCACAGGGCGGTCAGAAGTTCCCAGGCCAGAGAGGCTGCACCCAGCCACATGGTGGGGAGGGTCACCGTCTTCAGCCACTGGGAGAACTGGTGGAAGGTGAAGTCTGCGGAAGGAAATGGGTGTGAGGAGGGATGGTTCAGCTTCTACCCTCTGAGCCCCCGGCTGGCACTCACTGGTTCTGGAGTGAACGATGTGCTGCTCCCAGTCCACCTCCAGGCTGAAGCAGTGCACCACGCCATAGGTCAGCAGCCCGTAGACAGCCAACTCCAGCAGCAGGGTCAGCACGGCCAACAGGGCCTTGGGCCAGGCTGCAGGCCAAGACAGTCATGGGTCGCCTGGGAGCAGGGCTGGAGGGTCTATGGCCTGGGGGCTGGGGTAGAGCTAGGTCATTTGGCAGGCAGCAGGGGTAAGGACGGCTGTCTGTCTGGGGCAGGCAGACACTCACAGCTAGGCGTCCTCTTGCGGCGGCTGGTGCTAGACTTAGCAGCCAGGTGTGTGTCATCCAGGAGGGCAGTGGTGAGCACCAGGGTGAGCAGGTTGAAGAAGTTATAGTTGCCAGTGATGATAATCAGGACTTGCAGCAAGACCTGGAGAGGGTCTGGACTCAGCTCACGGGGGCCGCCCCCCTCCCGGGCCCTTCGGAGCCTGCTCCCAGGCCCCTCCGCATCCCCCCACTGAGCTCTCCCGCAGGCCTCTGTGCTCTCCAAGTCGTCCCCGTGCCTGTTCTCCCGCTCAGCTTCCCCTGCCTTGGCTTAGCCCCCCATGGCTCCGAGCAGCACCTGGAGAAAACCCAAGCTTGGCCTGCCTCACGCAGCCCTTCCTCAGTCGCCCATGCTGCCCCAGGACAGACGTCATCCAGCGACGCTGGAGCCCCACCACGCAGGCACACCTTCACACCCCAGGCTAATGAGCTCCTCTGCCCACAAGGCCCTTCTGACTGCCTAGCAGCAGACACCCATCCCCAGTGGGGCCCTCTGGGCAGTGCAAAGCAAGGCCACGTCCTGCTTGTCTTTCTGATGGCTGAGGACCCCACCCACCTGGGAGCAGAATGCAGCCAACCGCAGGCGGCGGACAGGAGCGAAGAACAGAGGTGGCACCGCGATCTCGATGAGGAAGGTGGCCACCACGGCGAGCTTGTGCAGCCAGACGGGCAGGTGGTGGGCAAACCAGGCGGCCGGCGTGGGCAGGCACTGAGTCTCGTAGTGGTAGGTGAGGGCTGCAGGGGACAGGCGGGCGGTCAGGGATGGGCAGAGCCCCCAACACTGCCCCACGTCCAGGCAGGGACCCTCACCAGTGAGCCCCCACCATGCGGGGCAACGGCTAGTCAGCTTGACCACACCCGAGGCAAACATGAGGCGGAACAGCAGCCAGCGCACGAGCCAGAAGGGAAGGGCTTCATGGGGGGAGACCCCTCCTGGCCTGCCCTGGGGGGCCTGCTTGTGGTTGGGGGGAAGCCCCAGAGGGGCCACCAGCACAGCCAGGAAGCCGGTCTCCAGCAGCAGGGAATCCCTACGGGGAGAAAAAATAGCGGAGGCCCTCCTCCCCGTCAAGGCTGCTCCCCTAAGGGGGCCCTCCTGGGAGGGACAAACACATCCCACCCCATCTCACCCACCCAGCCTTCTGTAGCCCAGACCCAACAATCACTCACCACTGGAAATAAAGGAACACCTGGCCCACCTGCAGATAGAAGGGCGGTCAGGAAGCACGGGCTGTGAGTCTGCAGGGGCACGGGCAGGGGAGAGGGCGGGAGGGCCTGGAGGGAGCTGGAGGCAAGCGTCCCAGTGGCACAGCCCCCACTTGCCTGGTAGACAGACAGGTAGGTGGCCCAGAGCAGCAGGTACACGAGCAGGTGGCGCAGCTGGCGCGTCAGCAGGGCACCCAGGGCCAGCAGGGTGCCCAGCAGGCTCAGTAGCTCCAGGCCCTGGGCAGTGTCCAGCCCCAGAAGTGGCGCCTCCCACAGCAGCGTGGGGGTCTCCCACAGCTGCTGCCAGCGGCCCTTTCCCTGGGGCCGCAGTGTCCTCCGGGCAGGCAGTATGCCCTCGGGGCCGTACAGGCCTGTGGGAGGGCACATCAGGGCAGGCCCTGGACACGGCCCGCGGAGACGAGACTCCCCCTTCCCCAGCCAGGGCCTGCGGATCTGCCCTCCCTAACCCAGGTCGGGACCAGCAGATTCTCCCTCCGGACAGGTCAAGGCCTGCAGACTCTCCAGACCCTCGCGCCGAGATCAGAACCCAGAACCGTGCTGAAAATGACCCCTGCACGCCCGCCCACGGCCCACACCCCCGCGGCTCGCAGGACACAAACCGCGGCCCCCGACCCCATGCATCCGGGCCTGGACCTCACCGCCCCTACACAGCGGTGTGTCGGGTGGGGAGATGAGGGGGGTCACAGGACCCGGGTTGGCGGGGAGGGGTCCCGCCCGGTGGCACCGCGCTCTCGGCGCCCTCACCCGGGATCTGCGTGTAAAGGGACGCGAAGGCGAACATGAAGACAGCGGCCACGCCCTGGAGAAAGAGCTGCCGTGGGAGCCGGGAGCCCGCCATGTCCGCTACGCGGCGGGCTGGACACGATTCCCGGGTCCGCCTGGCCCCGCCCCTTCGCGCCCCGGCCCCGCCCCCTCGCCGGCCCCCGCCCCCCGAGCCTGCGGCAGCTGCAAGCCCCATCCCGCCCTACGCAGGCGTGGGCCCCGCCCCCGCTCACGCCCCGTCTCCGGCGCGTCCTGCGTCCTTTCCGGCGTGAGGCTGCCGCTCTGCGTCAAGTTGTGTGCGCGTCGCTGCGCGCTACGTATCTTCCTGGGCGGGAACAGCAAAATGGCGCCAGAAGTAGTGGCGGGCTGAGTGCACCGGCCCCTCTGGAAGCCGGCGCTCTGGTCTCCGGGCCGATCCGGCTCCTCCCGAACATGGAGGACGTGGAGGCGCGCTTCGCCCACCTCCTGCTGCCCATCCGCGACCTCACCAGGAACTGGGAGGTGGACGTGGCGGCCCAGCTGGGCGAATATCTTGAGGAGGTGAGGGCGGCCCGGGGGAGTGGCGCAGGGCGGGGGCTGCGGGGCTCTGCCGCCTCTGGGGCGTGTGCCGCCTCCGTCTGGCGCTCTGACTGCACTCATCCGCAGGCTCGTTCCCTTTCCCCCAGTTCCGTCTCTTGGCCCTCGAAATCATCCCTTACTTGGTTAGCCTGGAGCTGTCATTAGAGATCGCTTTCTGTTAATGAGCTTTGAAATCGATCTAGTGAGTAGCGACCAGCATTTTTCTGTAATAGAGTAGAACAGAATTTGTGTGCATGTGTGGCTGTGTGAGAGGTCTGGGTCACGATGCAGGAGGGAGATCTTATGTTAGACTTTCAAGCCAGTGCTCCACCGTCAGCATTTAACTCCTTCCCCATATCTGACAGCATGTCTAGACCTCGTTAAAGAGCTGTCTGCTCCATTTTTGCACTTCACTTTCACTGCTCAGCCCGCTTGGACTGCTCTTGTGTTGATCAATAACGACTTCCTTCCTATCACATCCAAGGGTCACCAGAAGAGTCATCTTATTCAACTCAGCAGCATTTGATGAGTTGACGGCATCCTCTTTTTTGAAACAGGTTTTGTCTCCTGTCTGGTCTCAGTGTTGAACTCCTCAGGGCGTGGCCTGAGCCATCTTTTTACACATTCCCCCTAAACCACTTCATTTATTTCCATGATTTTAAGTACCTCTTGTATGAGGACAATTGCTGGGTTTATTTATTTACTCTCCCCTCTCTCGGTTTATATTTCTATTCGAAGCCTTTTCTCTGAGTCTGGTTTGTGTATCCAGCTTCTTAATCTCGAAATTCTCACTTAGATAGATGTCACACAAGCATCTCAGGTTTAATAGAGTTAAAGGAGTTGTTGTTGTTCAGTCGCTTATTTTTTTCTGACTCTTTGTGACTCCATGGACTGCAGCACGCCAGGCATCCCTGTCCTTTACCATCTCCCGGAGCTCGCTCAAACTCATGTCCGTTGAGTCGGTGCTGCCATCCAACCATCTCATCCTCTGTCGTCCCCTTCTCCTCCTGGGGAGGGGTCGGTCTTTTCTAATGAATCGGCTCGGCTCTATGAATCAGATAGCCAAAGTATTGGAGCTTCAGCTTCAGCATCAGTCCTTCCAATGAGTATTCAGGAGGATTGTCTTTAGGGTTGACTGGTTTGATCTCCTTGCAGTCCAAGGGACTCTCAAGAGTCTTCTCCAACACCACAGTTTAAAAACACCATTTCTTTGGAGTTGATCATCAGTTTAAAGGAGAGCTCTTTATATTCCTGCTCAAAGCTCAGCCTTTCTGATCTTGGTATATGGCACCAATGTTTCTCAAAGTGAAACCTCAGAGCTAGGGAAATCTGCCACTGCACACCAGTTTGCCCATGGTTTCTATCAGTTATGTCTCCAGAACTTCACTTCAGTTAATCTATTTTCCATTTTCTCTGATCCAGGCCACAGTCTGGCTCCCATTCATGTTAAAGCTTTCATTCTTGGACTCCCTACTCTTATTTTTGGCTCCATCCAATTAATGCTCCACCCAGCAGCAAATGCGACACTTAAAAATTAATATCAGGCTGCAGCACTGCCCTGCCTAATAACCCTCAGTGGCTTCCCGTTGGCTTCCAGAACAGAAGCCACGCTTTCTTCTCTAAATCTGGCTCTGCTCTGCTCGCTGTTTTAGCCTTGTCTTAGGCTCTTTTCCACCTGTTCTTTGAACCAGTCAGTCTGCAACACCCAAGCTCATTCCTGGCTGCACTTCACTCACACACACACACGCACACACACACACACACACACACACACACACACACACACACTTATGTTTTCTGTACTCAGTAGCGAGTTTGTTTTGCCCAGTTCTTTTTATGACTGATTCTTTCTCGTCCTGTACCCTTCAGTTTAAATATCAGCTGACTGCCATGTCTAAAATAGTTCTCTCTCTTACAGTACCTTCTGTATTTTAGAATGTTCATCTTCAGCTGGTCTCTAACTTGTTTATGTCTTTCCACACTAGAATGTAAATCCTGCATGGGCGGACTATCTTCATTCTCTCTCCCTTTTGCTTAATAGAATGCCTGGCACACAGTTGGTGCAGAATAAATGTTAAATGGACAGTTGATCTGACAACTGACCTCTGCTTGAACACGCAGTCTCCTGAGAAAACGCAGAGAGCTGTGCTAGCCGGAGCTGTGTTGAGCAGGGTGCTTGAGGGGGGGTGCCTGGTGAACCTCCTTGTTTGGTCTGCTCTTCTCCTGCTTCGTATGTCTGCTCCTCCAAACCTTTTCTGTCCCCTGACGTCCTCATTTCTCTGCCTCTAGTTTTGTCTTTCTCCTTTCATTTTCCACACAGCTGCCAGAACATTCTTACCTTAGAGAGAGCTGGTTTAGATGGGTTTGGGGATTGTTGGCATGTAGTTGGTGGACACAGATTTAAGGGGTGGCGGGAACTGGGGCTTAGGAGAGGCTGGGGGTCAGGAGTTGAAGAGGAAAGAGGATGATGTACTTGGAAGCATTTCCTGAGTTTTCTGCTTGAAGGATTGAGACCCCAGCGTTTTGCCTCTCTCTTCCCCACCCTTGAGGGTCCCCCATCCTTCTCCTGGAGTGGGGTCTTCCTGCTGGAGTCTGGCTGAGCTGGCCCCGACTAGGGTGGGCGCAGTGCAAGCTCCTCTGTAGAGGAGCTGGTGTGTAGCTCTGGCCATCTGTGGGTGATGCACCCTAGGGGCCTGTGTCTTCCAAAACACAAGGTTTTAGCGGTTACAGGAAGTAGGGGAAATCACAAATACCTGTCTTTCCCCTCCAAAAAAATGAACAGCTGGCAAGCCCCAGGCAGAGCCAGAGCTGTTCAGACGGGCTGCTTGTGGTAACAGGCACCTTGGGCCACTGGCCCTGGGCGGGGGGTGGGGTGGGTTGGGTGGGCTGCCAGGAGGAGGGTGAGGAGGGTGCGTAGACCCCCACTGTCCCTCATTGTGTCTTTCAGCTGGACCAGATCTGCATTTCTTTTGACAAAGGCAAAACCACAATGAACTTCATTGAGGCAGCGCTGTTGATCCAGGGCTCCGCTTGTGTCTACAGTAAGAAGGTGGGCCCGCCTGACTGTGGTCTTGTACTGCAGTGTCTTGTGGGACCAAGGTCTGCTGTCTCGCTGGGGCAGGTGGCAGGCTCAGCCCTGTCTCAGAGTTGCCTCAGCAGCACCTACCACCTCCTCCAAGTTCTTGCCCCTTTTATTTTTATTATTTTTTATTAGTATTATTTTTTCCTTGCCCCTTTTAACATGGAAGAACAGAATGGGTTTTAAATTGTAGGGTTGGGAATTCCCTGGTGGTCCAGCGGTTAGGACCCCATGCCTCCAGGGGCATGGGTTTGCTCCCTGAGTGGGGAACTAAGATCCTGCATGCCATGCCACATGCCCCCCCCCCCCCAAAAAAAAAAAAGAGATTGTCAGTAACTAAATCAGTGACTTTCAACCCACGCTACAGTCCAAACAATTACCAGTGCCTGGGCCTCACCCAAACTGACTAAATCAGCATCTCCGGGTGGTGGTGGGTTGGGGGAGGGAGGTAGATATCTGGATTTTTTGAACTATCCTCAGTGACAGACGGTATTGAAAACCATGGGTGGGGGCGGGGAAAGGGGAGCTGGGAGAGGATTATGGATGAAACAGCAGCAGGAGAAGTAGGTCAGGAGCGGTCGGGAGCATGGCTGACGGGCTTGCCGTGAAGCAGAGAAAAAACAACTCTCAGGACACTGCAGAGAAGGAGGGCCCAGGGGTTTGCAGCGTCCACGCCTAAGGCCCCACCTTTCACATGGAGCATGTGAGTCAGCTACTGAGAACCAGCTACTGTATAAGAAACTCGGAGAGTGAGGTGTGGCTAAAGATCAGCGCTGCTGAGGGAAATGCAAAGTAAAGACCAGTTGAAAGCACTGGTGGTCCAGTGGAGGTTAAGCGCACCCCGCTATTTGCCAGGGCCGTGCGCGTGTTGGAGATTTTCCTCCAGCACTGCTCCCCCTTCCATCGTCTAGTGGAGGAGCAGGGAAAAGGCGGCCACAGCACTGATCCACTCAACTGGCGGTTTGGGGGGCGGGGAACAAAAAGTGCACAGAAGGAAGAGTTCAGAAATGTGTTGAGGAGCTCCGTACCGGGAACCCCTCCGGACAGAGGAGGGGGCCACCAACTTGCAGGTTAACTGACACAAGGCCCCACCTCAGGCTCTGTGAGTTATGAAGACGGTTCGAGAATTCATGATTTTTGTCTTAGATGATCCCATGAAATCGGATTCTTTGTACTGCATTTGTCCTCAGAAGGAATATCAGCAATTAACTTTGGAAGCACAAACATAAGGTGCACCTATGGTCACATACATAGATGGGCAGACGTGTGCTTCTAGCAGGTGTAGTAAAATGTTAACCTGAAGTCTAGAAGGTGTGAGGGGAGCATAGGCTGTAGTCAGCACTGTCTCACCAGTCTTTCTGAGCTGATGGAAGTGTTCTATGATCTAATATGTGCAACTCCTGGGCCCTTGAAATGTGGCATGCGTGACTGAGGAGTCTGGCGTTTTGTTAACTTTTAATTAGATTTAAACTGATAGCGCCACATGTGGCTCGTGGCTTCTGGATTCCTGCATCCATGGTGCGGGTCCTTGACCCATCGCTGGTGGGGTTACTACTCTGATTCTCTGAATCTCAGTGTATCTTGTTTACTATGAGAATAGCACCGGCATTGATCCTAAGTAGGACAGAGACAGAGCATGAAGCACAGTCCTGTGTGACAGACACTTAGGAAAGCTCCTGTGGTCTGTTTCTGGTGAGTGGGATCCGTGCCCTCCAGCACACTGTCCTCTTGGGTGCTGTCACCCAGAGGGAGTGGCCTAGGCGGTGCGTGTATGCAGCCTACTGATGGCTGCTTTGTGGTCAGAATCTGGAAAATCCCAATGCTCACCCCCAGCAGTGGGGCCCACAGGCTATGGCTGGACTGTCAACGGGCTGGCAGAGACCCGCGGTGCTCCCGCAGGTGGGGGCTGGTTGGTGAGCCCCGTGAAGTCAGATGCGACTGTGGGTCCGGGCTGCAGGGTTGAGGTGGCCACAGCTGCGGCGGTGTGGAGTGAGGGCGCAGGAGGGGCTCCGGCTGTTCGGTAACGCTGGGGAGGCTTGGCGGTTGGATTGCAGCTGTGATTTTGGCAGCCAAATGGGCAGGAATTTGGAGAGAATGCCCTGGCATCTTGGTACTTGGACGAATAGTGCAGAAGGTTCTGGGAGCCCCTCCTTTCTCTTCCTCACTGCCGGCTCTGGTTGCCAGGTGGAATACCTGTACTCCCTGGTCTACCAGGCTCTCGACTTCATCTCTGGCAAGAAGTGAGTACGCAAGGGGTGCCCGTGTGTCCGCTGTATGTGCGGCCTGGGCAGCCCCTCACCTGCGGTGCCCGTGCGCTGGTTCTCTCAGGCAGGCCAAGCAGTTGTCCTCCAAGCCGGAAGACGGGACCATTGGGGATGCCAGCTCCAGGGCCCCCCAGGAGGCAGAGCAGAAGGTGAGGCTTCCTGGGTGCCTGGCGGTGCCCACTGTGCTAGCCAGGCCACCCCTGAGCCCTCTGTCTCCCCACAGTTCCTGGCGTTGGATGACCTCTCTGACTCCTGTGCCAATGTGGATCTCAGGGGTGACCAGGTCCTCAGTGTGAGTGCCCCCTCCTGCGTTTAGCTGATGGGGGTGTGGAGGGTGATGTCGTGGCCCGTGGGTTCCCACGGTTCACCCGTTCTTGGCCTCTGTGCAGGGGACCCTCATCCCTCTCCTGCCCAATGCCCTGGTCGCCCCGGATGAGATGGAGAAGAACAGTAACCCCCTGTACAGGTGCGGGCCTGCGCCTGCTGGGTGGAGGGGGGTGTGCTGGGGAAGGGTCTCTGCAGCACCCGTGTTTTGCCAGCTGTCAGGGGGAGGTCCTGGCCAGCCGGAAGGATTTCAGGGTGAACACGTGCACGCCGCACCCCAGAGGCACGTTCCTGTTGGAGCCAGTGGGTGTGTCCCTCATGGAGGCCCTGCAGCCGCGGAACCCAAAGGGTGAGAACTCGGTCGGGGGCGAGGCGGACTCCGCTCGGGCACCTGCGCCCACCATCTGGACCTGCTTGTAGGACGGGGCCTCTGCCTGCAGCTGGTTCAGCCACAGAAGGCCCAAGTCCTGTGCCTGGGCTGTGTTCTCCCTGCCTGGTTCTGTCCATGTGGGACCTGGGAGGGACCTTGTAGGGGGAACAGGGCTGACCGCGTTTGATCCCTGGTCTCTCCCAGAGCCTGGAAGGGCTGAGGAGCAGCCAATGGAAGTCTCTGTGTGCGGGAGTCCTGGCCCGGCGCTCAGCATCTCCCGGGAGCCAGGTGAGAAGCGAGCGCCCAGGCGGCCCTGCAGTGGGCGCTGGGGAGGGGGCGCTGCGCTCAGCACCCCCGCCAGAGGCTCAGGGGCAGGCCTCCGTGCCCAGGACCCACCTTGGCCAGCTGTGCCCTCTTGGTTTAGTGGCTGCCCCTGGACCACCCTGCTCTCTGAGCAGACAGAGGTGGCAGCATTTAAAGAGGAAAATTACTAAAAAATAAGATGAACCAAACAAAACAGCAGTATAACGTGCGTGTATTGTGCCCTCTCTGCTTCCCACAAGGGAAGCTGAGTCAGGAACGGCCCCTCATCCCGAGGCCTTCAGGCTCCTGGGGCTGACTGGTCTCGTGTCCCTGCTAGGCTCCTCTCCAGAAGGCCTGGCGCCCAGAGGTGGGGGCATGGGAGAAGACGAAGAGGATGCAGAAGGGGTGGCGGAGCCCCCTGAGGCCTCCGCACCTGAGGTCCCGATGGAGCCCCCGGAGCCCAGGAGCCCCGAGCAGGTGGGACCCCCAGGGAGGCCTGCCGAGCCCCCGCCCTCGGCCAGGCAAGCCCCGGCGGGGACAGCGCGCTCGTGTGGGGCAGGCGACCCCCGGGCTGCCTGCTCTCTGGTCCTTGTGCGCCAGGGCAGCGGGTGTGTCCCCCAGCCGGCCCCGGCTCCACACGCCGCCCTTTCTGGCAGCAGCTTTCACGGCTCCCTGTCTGGGCAGAGCAGCTGCTGCTTCTTGGGGAGGACTGGTGTCCGGGGTCAGGGGCTGTGCTGCTCAGGGTTCCACCCAGAGTGGTCTCCGGAGCTGACTCGAGGCCAGGCTGGCAAGAGTGGACAGGCCTGCCTCCCTCACCCCTAAGGTCCAGCTTTGTACTCCGGCGCAGAGCTAAGAAATCCTTTTATTTGTAAGGAAAAGCCTTGACATACAGGAAAAAATATTAACGTCTGTCAGGTTTGGTTGGCTGTTTTTGCTGTGCTTAATTGCTCAGTCATGTCTGACTCTCTGTGACCCCATGGACTGTGGCCCACCAGGCTCCTCCATCCATGGGATTCTCCAGGCAAGGATACTGGAGTGGGTTGCCATGCCCTTCTCCAGGGGATCTTCCCAACCTAGGGATGGAACTCAGGTCTCCCGCATTGCAGGCAGATTCTTTACCGTCTGCTTTTTTTTTTTTTGAAGAAGTATCTCGTGGCCACTAGTCTACTAGTTTCTATCTTCTCCTAAAGTTTTTACTAGCTTTTCACTTTTTGGTCGTTTAACTTTCTGCCCCCAGGGGGTTTCTGCAGGGTTCCCCGTGTCTGGCCCCAGAGCAGAGCTGCTGGGGGTCCTGGAATTCTGGGTGGAGGAGGAGAGGGAAATCCCTGGTGTTCCTTTGCAGAGTGCTGCCCAGCCCAGGAGGTGTACACTCCGGGAGCGGAAGGAGGCCCCGGAGCCTGCATCCCGGCTGAAGGTGAGGGGTGGGCAGGCCCGGAGCCCGGCACGGGGCGGGGGGTCGCGCCCTCGGCAGTGTGTCTCTTGAGCACTCTTCCTTCCCCCAGCGCTGGGCCTCCCTGCTGCAGCTCCAGGGCACCCCCCTCCCCGTGTGTCTCGACTGGGGGAGGGTGCGCGTCCTCCACTCTCCTGTGTCTGCTTGTGCTCTGTGCTCAGGACACCCCAGACCCCTGGCAGGGCCTGGACCCCTTTGACTCCCCGGATTCTAAGCCCTTCAGGAAAGGTAACGCAGAGAGTATGGCCCCTGGGCACTGGGGGTGGGGGCTGGGCTCACCTGGCTTGAGTGGAGGTTGGGGCTCCAGGGCCTGTGGGCACGGAGACGGCCCTGGGCTGTGGTTGTGCTCCGGGACGGCCTGTCTGCCCCCAGGTAGGCCCTACTCTGTGCCCCCCCGCGTGGAGGAGGCGCCAGGACAGAAGCGTAAGAGGAAGGGTGCTGTCAAGCTGCAGGACTTCCACCAGTGGTACCTGGCTGCCTGTGCGTGGGGCCCGGGGCCGGGCGTGGCTGTGGGCCTCGGCTTGGCTCCTGCTGACCCTGTCTTCTTGCAGATGCCGACCACGCTGACAGCAGGAGGTCCCGGCGAAAGGGCCCTTCCTTTGCAGGTGAGCCTGGGGCCTGGGGCTCTTTGAAGGAGGCTGACCCCACACTGCACCGCCCTCCTCAGCCTGGGGAGGCCGGAGGCCGAGTGGACTCGGGTGGGCCTGGGCAGGATGAGGGAGCCCCCTCATGAGAGGCTTGTGTGCACAGACATGGAGGTTCTGTACTGGAAGCATGTGAAGGAGCAGCTGGAGACGCTCCGGAAGATGCAGAGGAGGGAGGCAAGTACTGGCCACTCTGGGGACCCTGCAGGGCCTGGTGGGAGACAGCAGTGCCTCTGAGGGGCTCTCTCTGCACAGGCGGCTGAGCGATGGCTGCCAAGGGCCGAGCAGGGGCTGTGGCCCGTGGAGGAGGACCGCCTGGAGGACTCGGTGGAAGACCTGGGAGCCGCAGGTGGGGGCCTCCGGGGGCAGGCCAGGGTAGGGTTCAGTGCCTGCCGCAGCCTAACAGCCTAACCAGCCTTTTGCCTGGGTGCTCCCTCCTCAGCAGATGACTTCCTAGAGCCCGAGGAGTACGCAGAACCTGAGGGGGCCGAGCCCCGGGAAGATGCAGACATGGGTAGGTCTGGGAGTGGGCTGCAGGCCCAAGGGGCCCCCGAAGACGGGAGGAAGGAGAGAGTGAGGTTAACGGCCGCACTTTTGCAGAAGCGGAAGCCATGCCAGCATCTCTGTGCTATGAGGAGCTGGTCCAAAAGAATGTGGTAGGCCCAGGTCAGAGTGGGGGGGGCTGGGCAGGGTGGGGGCAGGCTCTGCACCCAGCTGGTGGCCCCTGGTCCTCCCCCAGGAGCTCTTCGTCACCACCTCGAAGCAGGACGTCTTCATCACCACCTCGAGGCAGGAGCTCGTCCAGGAGACAGAGCTGAAGCAGCACATCAGGGGCTGGGAGGACGCCATCCAGACCCTGCTCCAGGAGCAGGTGAGGTGGGCCGGGTGGGGCCCCTGGCGGAGGATGGCATCCCCTGTGGCCTGCCTTGGACCAGCCCGGGACCGGCCCCTCCCCCTGCAGGAGGAGCATGTGCCCTTTGACATCCACACCTACGGGGATCAGGTGGTCTCCCGGTTCAGCCAGCTCAACCAGTGGTGCCCCTTCGCAAAGCTGGTGGCAGGCCAGCCTGCCTTCGAAGTGTGTCGCTCCATGCTGGCCTCCCTGCAGCTGGTGAGTGGCCTGGGGGTCTGGGAGGGAAGTGGTGCCGGGCCTCCGCTGACGCTTTGTGCCCTGCAGGCCAACGACTACACAGTGGAGATCACCCAGCAGCCGGGGCTGGAGGCGGCTGTGGACACCATGTCCCTGAGGCTGCTCACACACCAGAGGGCCCACAAGCGCTTCCAGACCTACGCTGCCCCCTCCACAGTGCAGCCCTGAGCGGGGAGCACTGCGGCCAGGGTTGGGCCCTGGAGCCCGTCCCCCACGGATACCGGGTGTGCGTCTGCTCAGTTTGCTTTCTTTCCTGGCTGGCCCAGCCTAATAAAATGTTGCCATCCCACCAGTCCCTTAAAAAAAAACCTTTACAGAACCGTTGTGTGTAGGGGAGAGGGCTCTCTGTCCCCTGCACCCCAGGAAGCAGCCAGGCCCCCAGCCCCCTTCCCACCATGGCCTCGGGGCTGCTGGTACAGATCTCTCACGCACACGGCTCTGCCACAGCCTTTTAATGACCCGCCTTAGCACAGGACGCTGCGGAAGGCAGCCATGTGGCGCCGCACGCTGTCCGAGATCTGCTCGGCCGACCTGGCCCTGCTGTAGTAGTCCGTGAAGAGGCCGTCAGGGCTGAGCAGGTAGATGGCGACGGAGTGGTCCACGATGTAGTCCTGGTCTCCGTCCCTGGGGCCGGCACTGTAGTACACGCGGTAGCTGCGGCTCACCTGGGCGATCTGCTCGGCAGAGCCAGTCAGGCCCAGCAGCCTTGGGTGGAAGTCCTGCACGTAGCGGGCCATGGCAGCCACGGTGTCCCGCTCGGGGTCCACGGTGATGAAGAGGGGCTGCACGGGGGGCAGGCCGGGCTCCGCCTCCAGCTGCCGCACCACCTGCACCAGCTTCTCCAGCTCGTCGGGGCAGATGTCAGGGCAGTGAGTGAAGCCGAAGTACAGCAGCACCCACTGGCCCCGGAAGTCAGCTTTGCAGCGCACTTGGCCCCGGTGGTCCAGTAGGCTGAAGTCGCCCTGGCCCACAGCAGCCTGCCGCAGGGCTTCTGTCCGCTGTTGCTGCTGCCACCGCTCCTTCTCGGCCCTCACGGCCAGCCAGGCCCCACCCAGTCCAGCCCCAATCAAGGCTGTGACGAGCAACCTGGTTCGCAGGCCAGGACCCTGGGGCTGGCCCTGCCTGCCGGTCTCTGCAGGGCTTGGCGTTGAGAAGAGCTGGTATCTCACATGCTGGGCCTTGCCTCCTGGGGTCCCAGGGAGGGCCAGAGGCTTGAGCTGAAAAAGCCTGTGCCAAGCTTTGGATGCCCGAGCCAGCAGCAGCATGGACCTGATGCTTCTGGGAAGAAGCAAGAGTGTCAGGAGCCAGAAGTGCCCCCATCATTCAAGAGATCCCTGACTCCACCTGAAGGACCAGCCCTACACATGCTCTGCTCTCAGCAGCTGCTCACCTACCACTCCTGGGCTCAACTGCCTCACCTCTGAAACTTCAAACTCCAGTTTAGGCATCGTCAAGTGTTCACTGCTTATCCCTCTTGTTCTTTAGCCTGAGAGCCTCAGTCTATCCCATTCCCCCGGCCCTAGCAGCTCTTAACAGCTCAGTCGTCGCCTGCATCTGAAAGCATTCCATGCACATGCCTCAGCCGGATTCCTGGGCATATTTATCTGTTTGCAATAAACATCCATTTCTTAAGAGGAGGTGGGTGAATTTCTGGCTTCACCCTCCCAAGACCGCCTCCTCTGGCCCTTCTGCAGGCTTTCTCCTGAGGCCACTCCCGCCACAGTGCTCTAGCCCCTGGCCCCGCGGAAACCTTGCGCCACGCGCGCCGCAGCCTGCAGCGCTCCGCCTGGCCCCCAGCCCCCGCCAGCCTCTCGCACGTACACTTCCAGCCGGCAGTCGGCCCAGAAGAAAAGGTTTCTACTTGCTTCGAGCCCACTCTTCACAGCCAGGTACCCGACGGAAGCTCTGGACTCACGTCCTGCCCCGGCTTCGGTGACCTCCGTGCCTTTCTCAGGGGCCTCTGGAGGTTTGCCAAGTGGAGGTATTAGAACCGCCCCCCCGCCCCTCACCTGTTCAGGCGCTCCTGGGAGGACCCTCTCGAAGACTCCTAAACGTCCGGCCTCTGCCAGTCCGGCGGGTTCCTCGGCTGCACGACCTTGGACACGTCCCTTAGCCTGTTCACACCACCTTCCTCCCTCACAAAACGTGCTCCAAGTTGTGCACAAGGTGAGCCTGCAAACCCAGACGTTTCCAGCCCCTCTCCTCCGGAAGCCCCTTTCACAGGAGCCTCCCGGAATGCGCCTCGCAGGTGCTCCCCCAGCGCCCCAGGGTCGGGGCGGCAAGTCGAGATGCTACCTGGGCGGCACCGCGGACCACCCGCCCAGCTCGAGGTCAGCGCGCATGCGTCAACGACGCCGCTCTCGCGCAGACGGCCGTGTGCGCCAAAGGCGGAGGTCCGCCGGAAGTTACGTGTAGGAGGCGGGGCTTCCTCCGCGGTCCTGCCCTTCCGACTCCGCCGCGTTTGCTCGGCGACGCCCCCAGTCGCCGGATGTGGTTCCCAGTCGCCGGGTGTGGTCTCCGCCCCGCTCCCTAGGCTGGCATGCCTGCGCGCGTACGGCTGCAAGCCTCTCGGGCTTCGTTGCTGCGTCCAGCGGGCGCGGGGGCAGCGGGCCGTGAGCAGCTGGGCCCGGGAGGGATGGGGTCTCCGGGTGTAAGGCTGAGCCGGGACGGGGGCACCTCTCTTCTCCCCCTCCCGGAGCGCGGTGACCCCCAGGCCGTCCAGGAGCAGCCCCGTTTCCTCACTCCAGGCTGCTGCCTACGGCGGGCTGTCCGTAGTGGTCAGAGCGGCGGCTCCGCGCCAACCTGCCGAGACTCGGTTCGGCGTGGACCCGCCCCGCGTCTCGCGTGTCTTCAAATTGCAGCCCCTGATGTACCCTCGGTTGCCGGTTCCCCTGGAGAGGGAGTTACAGAAGGCTTGGGAGGGAGCGGGAGACACCTGGAGCGGCCTTAACTGACCTCAGCGGTGGGGGTCAGGAAGAGCTCGTTCGGCGGGAGGGCCCTGAGAGTTTCCCCAGACCCCGGAACAGGTCGGTCTTGCTCGGATAAAGGTTACCGGGTGGGAATGGAGCGGGGAGGCTGGATCTTGGCCGCGGCAGGGTGAGACTGGGCTGCTGAGATACTGAGGGTCAGGCTACCGAGTTAGAGCAGAGGGTTGGGGCTACATAAATAGATCCGTGCCAACAGAGAGGCCACAGCCACACGGGGACCTCTATGGAGAGGCTACATAGGCTCCAGGGCCTGTGCCTGGCTAGGGACTGCGGCCTCTCTCTACTTCCTGCCTGCCATCTTTGCAGACGGGCTGTCCACTGCCTTCTTACTGAGGATGGGGGCTATGTGTGGGCGGCTAAGGGGTCTGCAGGTGATGGAGATCCTGGAGCTTCCTGGGAGATGTCGGGGAGGCTGACACTCGGATCAGTCATGAGGGATCAGGGACCCTGAACATGGAAGGTCAAGTGCCCTATGTGATGGGATGACAGGTGCATCAGTCAGGTCACCCTCTTGAGTGGGTGGTCAGGCATCCTGTGATGTGGGACACTGATGCTGGCTTTGGGTCAGATCACATGTGGTTGTGTGTTCATAGCTCAGGAGTCTTTAACACGCAGGAGGCAAATCTTGGTCAGGTCATCAGTGATGAATGGCAGGCTGTTGATGGTGGCTGTTACATCTCTTGCTTCCTCCGGGAATCCATCTGCAGGAACCAGCTTCCTGACCCACAGTACAGCACCAGCAGCCCACTCACTCCTGCAACCCTTGTATCTGGCTAGCCTCCCCTGCAATAGGACTCCCAGTGACTCTCAGTTGCCTCTGATCAGTTACCCCATCACTGACCCTGACCAAGGACTCATCAGCAACCTTGATGTCCAAAATCATGACCAATGACAGGACTGATTCTGATAAGTTCTCACTAGTGGCCCATCAAATATATGGATCAACATTCTATGGCCCATTAATGATTGATCAGAGGCCCATCGGTTATTTAGACCAAGTCCCTATTAGTGACTTCTATCGAATTTCCATTGATGGTCTTGACCAAAGTCCAATGACCCATGAATAACTGATCAGTATCCTCCCTAGTGATCCTTCAGAGAGTCTGGCCTGTGTTTTCCATCAATAACTGAGATCGATGACCAATTAGTATCCTGCCTGTACCTGCTCTGGTTTCTGGGTAACAATGAATTCATGAATAGACTCCAGTTTATCCAAGGTACCCCCATGTACCCCCATTATCACATCTGTTGCTAACTTATACAGGCTGGGCAAGGATGCTGAGTACACCAGCAAAGTCACCTCCCCACCCCCATATTTCTCCTTACCATCCCTGGTTAGGCCTCAGCTGGAGTTAAGCATTTAGTGCTTTTTCCAGTAATTGTGTATGGATGTGAGAGTTAGACTATAAAGAAAGCTGAGCACTGAAGAATTGATGCTTTTGAGCTGTGGTGTTGGAGACGACTTTTGAGAGTCCCTTAGACAGCTAGGGGATCAGAGCAGTCAATCCTAAAGGAAATCAGTCCTGAATATTCATTGGAAGGACTGATGAAGCTGAAGCTCCAATACTTTGGCCACCTAATGCGAAGAACTGACTCATTGGAAAAGACCCTGATGCTGGGAAAGATTGAAGGTGAGAGGAGAAGGGGACAACAGAGGATGAGATGGTTGGATGGCATCACCAACTCGATAGACATGAGTTTGAGTAGGCTTCGGGACTTGGTGATGGACAGGGAAGCCTGTCATGCTGCAGTCCATGGGGTTACAGAGTTGGACACGACTGAGTGACTGAACTGAAGCTGAACTGAGCAGTGTAGTGGGTGTCCAGCTGGAGAGGGGACGGAAAATAAACTGTCCTGGTGCCCATTGCTAGGGTCACAAGTCTGGCGGGTGGAGGGAAAGGAGTACCCAACTCTTCTCTTGGGAGTCCTGTCTGGGGAACTGAAGAAGAAGCCGAATAACTTGGTCCTGTTATTGGGGGCTGATGTGAAGGGAGATTCAGGTTCTGTCCTGGGGAGTGAGAAGCCTGGGTCCTGCCTTTGAGGGCTCTGTCTGGGCCAGGCTTAGGTCAGGACCTGCTGGTGGTTGTTTGCCTCTTTGAGGTCAGAGGTTCTGGCCTGGAGAGGAAGTTTCTTTCAACGTTGCAGCCACAGCCAGCCAGGGCAAGTGTCAGGACTCTGCCTCGGGGCATTTGTCCCCAGGCTATTGGCACCAGGCTTCTGGTCATGCCAGCTGCTGCCCAGACTGGGCCAAAGCCGGGGTCAGCACCACAATCTCTACCAGATGGCCAAAAGCATGGCCCCTAGGCATGGGTAGTAAGGTGGTATAAGCAGCACAGAGGGGTGTTCTGACAGCAATGGGTTATCCTCGGTGTCGGTGACAGTGGTGGGGCGCTGCAGCGTCCCTGGGGGCAGGAAATTTCTGGGCGTGACCTCTGTGTCAAGGGGTGGCCACCCCTCCCCACACACGGATTTGTGTGCCTTGCGTGCCCAGTCCAGGACGGCACATGAGAAGCCCTTTATGTCTCCTTGTTTCAGGTGGATCAGCCCCGGCAGCTGCTTGGACTCTGGCTCCCTCCTCGGGACTGGTCAGCAGGTGCGGGAGGGGCAGATGGGGCCAGGGGGCCTGGGGTCACTGGGGCTGCTACTGCTCTGGGCTGTGACACATACCTGGTACCTGTCGCCGCCCTGCGTCCGTGTCGCTGACGCCAAGTGCACGTGTCCCGACCCCGGTCCCCATTCTCTCCTGTGTCTGCCTCAGTCCCGTGTCCCGTGTCCGAGTTGGGTACGCCTCTCCCTCCATCTCCCAGGCTTGGGACCCCAGCAGTAGGAACCGGGACAGTTTCTTTTCCGTTCCCTTTTCAGCTGAACCCCTGGCCTCGGCCTCACTACCTGACCCTGGGGAGAACCTGTCCTGTTCCGTGGCCCTCGCCCGTTCTTTTCAGAGCCCAGTCGGTTCTGCCTGGTCTTGCAGCGGGTAAGAGCCGTGGGACTGCTCACTGCGCCTGAGCCGCGGAGGGGCGGGGCCCCCGACACGCGGGGCTCTGGGCCAATCGCCGCCTCGGCGGGGCGGGAGGACTGGCGCACTTCTGTCCTGGCCAATCGCGAGGGCCTGCGGGAGCCTGGACTCCGCCCGCCCGCCCGCCAGCCGCCGCGAGCGCAGAGAGGCCGACACGCTGCTGGTTCCAGAGGCTTTAAGAAACATCTGCGGGGCAGCGCCCGCCCAGCGGGTCATCGTCCGCGTTGGTCATCATCGGGGCCAGGTAGTCCGAGTGCCGGATCCCAAAAGTCCAGCCGCAAGGCTTCCGGTGCTGCGGGCCCAGGAGACGTCGCTGGCCTAGTGCTGTCTGCAGGCCTTGGGCTCCCGGCCCCCAAGCTCGCCACTCCGACTCTCTATCCCGACCCGGGCCCCTTTACCCCGCCTCCGACCCTTGACCCTGAACTGCAGACCACCTGGTCCACGTTGTAGGCTGCAGGGCCGGGATTCTGGGTGTTGCCTTGGGAGAGCGAAGTCCGCGCCAGCATCGAGAACTGGGGGGCCCGAGGCTTGTAGACCCCAGGGTTCACCACGTGGTAGGCGCAGGGGCCCGGGGTCTGCGTGGGGTGGGGGCAGGAGAGGCGCTGTGTCCAGCTTCCAGGCCCGCCGACCGCCGACCCCTCGCCGCGCCGTGCGGGCATCGCCCCCCACCTTGCTGAGGTCCTCGCAGAAGCTGCCCACCGCGCTGCGGCCGTAGATGGAGTAAGTCGGCGCCGACACTTTGCCGACTACGCGCGGGCCCAGGAGCGAGGGCATAGTGTAGGTCCCGGGGCCTGCGGGGGCCAGCGAGGGTAGGTCTTTGCGGACTAGCCGTTGTCCTCCCCGCTGCCCGTGCAGGGTGGGCCTTCTTGGGCTCACCTGGGGTTTGCGACTCCAGACGGAGGCCCCAGTTTCGGGGAGCGATGGTGTGCCGAGGCGCGCTGGGGTACGCTGCATTCCCGGCTCGCTCCGGGAAGTACCTGCCTGCGGGGAGGACCGGGGCGTGGGCCAGAACTGGGTTGGGGACCTAGCCGGAATCCGCGCCGGAGTCCAGGGCTTAGGGGGAATCCGAGCCACGATTTGTCAAAGCCCAGTGAGGCTTGGAGCTGTTTTGAGGTCTGGGGCGGGGGGTGGGGGCTGAATTTGGAATGTTAGTGTGCCCAAGGGGGACTCGGTTAGGTGGGGAGGTTGGGGGGGGGGCGGTTCCCGAGGGAAGCAGCTAGGCATTCGGGAGGCCAGGGCCCCAGGTTCCTGACCAGGTCCGGGAGTGAGGAAGGGTGCTGCGTGCCGCGGGCGGCCGAAGATGGAGTACGCGGGGGCGCTGTCGAGACCGCGCACGGTCATGCGAGCGGGCACCAGGTGGCCTGGCCCGGGGCCGCACGATGTCTGCTGTGTCGGGAGGCGCGCGCCGAAGGTGAAGGCCGGGGCGCGGGGCCGCGAAGGGTCATGCAGGATGTAGCCTGCCGGGCGCCCCAGCATCACCAGGGGCCGGCCGCTCCCCTCCGGGCAGCCGCCGCCGGCCCCCCGCCCCCGGCCCGCCGCTGGTACCGGTGCTGGGTGGTAGCTTGTACTTGGGTCCCGGGCCGCTGAAGAGGGCTCCGATGGGGCCGCGGGGCCGGTGCGGCCGCCACGGGCCGACCCAGACGTCCGAGCCCATGGCGCGGTGGGAGCGCTTGCGGCCGTCAGCACCTGCGGGCAAAAGGTGGCGGCCCCGGCCCCTCCGCCCAGGCTCCGGGGGCGCACTCCCGGTTCCCTCCAGATGGGCCCGACTCCGGGACGGGGGAGCGCTTATCCCAGGTGCGGAGAAACAAACGGCAGCTTTCCTGACTCCAGAGTGGCGCGGGGCAAGGACAGATTCGAGGCCATCTTCCACCCCCCAGCCCCAAAATGAGTTTAGCAGGGGTGTATGTGTGCGCACCAACTTTGGACGCAGCACTGAGGGAGTGGAATTCCCAGGGGTTCCGGAGAACTGAGATATTTTAGGAACATTAGGGGAGGATAATGGGGCGAGGGGGAGGGAGGGTGGGGGACCTGCTACCCGAGGGGGGCCCAAAAGTGGATGCACTGACCTGTCCCTCCTGGCTGGGAAGGCAAGGTGGGGTGTCTGGATCTCCACCGCTGCAGGGCGCAACTCCCAGACCCCATTGTGTCCGGGTCGCGCCTCCTGGCAACCGGACTGACCGCCCCGCCTGGCCCCGCCCCCAGCCTCTCCTCCTTGGAGTCCATGGCAGCGGCGGGCGTCCTGCAGGCTGGGCCAGGGACCAGAGCTCGGGCCACAACCCTTCCCCAGGCTTCAGTCCTCCCATCCCGGAAATAAGTCTGCAGGCAAAGAACAAGTGCGTGAATGAAGAAATCAAGCTTAATTTAATTGCTATGTGTAGAGAGAACTTTGCCTCTAAACGCGTGGAATGCAAAAGCAATCATGTACTGGGCCACAAAAAAGCCCAATACAATTAGTAGATATAAACTATTGTATATAGGATGGATAAGCACAAGGTCCTTCTAGATAGCCCACGGAGCCATATTCAATATCCTGTGTTAAACCATAATGGAATGTAAAAAAAAAAAAATGTGTGTTATTGAGTCACTTTGCTATAAAGCAGAGATTGGCACATTGTAAATCAACTATACTTCAATTTTTTAAAAAAGCCCATACAAGGTGAATAAATAGATATAATGGGACACATGATTTGATCACAATTCAAAACAATTCTAAACAAACAGTATAAATGTTTTAAAAAATGGTTAAATATTTAGAAATTAGCAAATTCTCTTTGAAAGCTAGCAGCCAGGAGTGCCGAGGGAGCCAGAGGGCTGTGGCCCTTGCCAGGGACCCTCCAGCAGGCCCAGGGGGATGAAGTGGCTCGAAGCCCAGCACCTGCGTATTGAAGCACATGGAAGGGTTTACTACGCAGCACAGGAGCGGATAATGCCAAAATGCAAAGCTGTGGTTGATGCACATTCAGCGAGTGGGGCAGTCTGCCCTTCTGCTGCGGAGATGGCGGAAATTAGTTGAAGGTGTTGGTCGATGAGGGAGGGTCCCGGAAAAATGAAAGTGAGCACCACCAAGTGCTGACCTAGAACAAGGATTCCAAGGAGTTTCAAATGCTGCTGTGATTATGCAGGTTCTGGAGAGAATTGCTGAGGCAGGAAGACATTCCAGTCAAGACCAACAAATCATCATCGTATACAGTCATCTCCCTTTAAGCCTCTGGCACTAAAAACACCACCTCCTGTGCTTATGCTAAGTGAAAGACAGCTATATTTTCTGAATTTAGAAAGACCTCCTCCAAACCCTCAGAAATCTGTGCAGTTGGTAAGCTAAAAAGAGATTGCTTTATGAGAGAAAATGTGATGTGTGCATGATAAGTGACTTCAGTAGTGTCTGACTCTTTGTGAACCTATGAACTGTAGCCCACCAGGCTCCTCTGTTCATGGGATTCTCCAGGCAAGACTGGAGTGGGTTGCCATGCCCTTCTCCAAGAGATCTTTCTGACCCAGGGATTGAACCCACTTCTCTTAAACATCTCCTGCATTGGCAGGCAGGTTCTTTACCACTAGCACCACCCAGGAAGCCCACGAAAGAAAATGCTATTGGCCAAAATTGACACCTGGTCAGAACTGACTCCATACCTGTGTTGCGTGGTGGGTCTGCTGCTGCCATTTCTGATCCACATCTTGACAAGGTCAGGTGTGGCATTTCAAATATAGATAGAACAACTAGAGGAACTTTGGATGATATGACTCTTGTAGATACAGCTTCATTAAGATGACAGATAAACCAAGTAGATCTACAACTTCTGAAAGAGGAGAACAAAGGCCTCCTAAAAGAGAAATGGTCATGTATCCAATTACTGTAGTATTCTGGCTGCTTAAGAGCTAGCTCTGGTTTTGCTGCTCAAGGTGACCTCACCTCTCAAAAAATATTGTCTCAAGAGTTGGAAATATGGAGAATTTGTAAACGTCTTTGTTTTTGTCTTTGCATTGTATGTTGATTTACAGCCCACACCTTGAAGATGTATTTCTCTCAGAAAGGAGGGGAGAATGACTTATATTTGCAGAAGTAAAGGTATATTCTGTCTCTTGACTGTATTTGTACCTTTAACCAGTTCTGCCATAACACCTACTTAAAATTCTCCCTTTGCATGTTTTATAAATAGGATCTAGGTTTTTTAAAAAAAATTTTAAGGTATTTTTTTTGCCTCATCAGTTTGCACAACTAATTCTATGAGTGGGAGAGAAAGTGTATAGAAAATGGATTTACAGAAGTGTCTGTCTGTAAAGGAAAAATAGTGCTTTCTTTTGTCCTGTTTCTCAAGCACTATGAAACAATTTAGTTAATAGACATTTTTGCATCCACATTTCAACATTAATACCCCCAAAGTCATGGTCTGCTATCAGATTTAATGAAATCAAGCCATCTTATGTTTCATGATCACCTTAAATAAAGTAATTTCTAACATTTTGAGCAGTTTATGTAACATGGGCAAAATGTGCTTTTTAATTTTTATTTTAGTTTTGCAGATGGTTTTCTATAAAGTACATTTTTACTAAGTCCATGTGTGAATGATTAATGATTTAAAAAGTTACAGAATAAAGTACAAATATAGTGTATTTAATAAACTGTCAACCTAAACAAAAATCCAAAATCAGTGAGATAGAAAACTAAGAGTAGCTGTGAGGTTTCTGTTTTTAAAAGCTGCAGGGTTTCTGTTTAATATTCT